GCCGAATTCAAGTGGTCGAGACTTGCGACGGCCCGGGAAGTATCGATGCGCGTATTGCTTGATATTGATTGCTCCGGAAGTAGCCTTTGTTTCATCTACGAGTCGGTGTTGTGGTGCCAGAATTTGGCTGTGATTGTTGATCTGGTATCGTGTCGAGGGCAGCGTTCCGGACTGCCGACACCGCGCGGCTTTCCTTTACCTTCCAATCATCGCCTTTTCGAACAACCTTCGATCGGTCCTTCTCTGCTTTCTTGAGGAGCATCTCTTCGATCTTTGTGTCGCGGCGTTTGCCTTGGACACAGTCGCAGAGACAGCCTTCGGTCGGACATGCGCCGTCTGATAGTGTCGGATCGGCAAACCAGGTTGACAGGCAGTTTGAATGTCCTCCGTGACCACATAATGGACACCATGTCCAGAGCGTGGCTGCAGGTGACGACCATTTGGCTGGAACAGTCGGTGATGGACCGTCTGCGATTTGATCGCCGGCATGGTCTGGATTCGATGTGAGAGACGATCGCTGCCTTCTGTGTCCTCTGTCCTTGAATGATGGCCGCGACTTCGCTTTGGATTTCTTCTTCGCGGTGATCGATTCGAAAGCCGGGTATTTGCCCCAGCAAATCGGACAGGGTGCCTGCGTTCGCTTGCAGGACTCACATCGCATCTTATCTCTAGGGTTGTTGATTGGTGACTTGCAGCTTAGGCACAAAAGCCCAACCTGCGTTTCTTTCAGCGCTTGCTCGTAGACAGCAGGATATGTCGGGTACGCTAGGCGGCGGAGCGAGGCCGCGGAGTTAAACAATGACAAGGAATGTAGCTGGAAATGATAGGCGGAAAGAATAGACTCCGCTTGGTAGGGATTAATACCAGTAGCTATCAGCTGGCTTAACTGTGTCGATAGTATAGCTTTCGCTTGTGCTTGAGTCAGTCCTAGTGCTACGAACGTGTCGCTGAAGACGTTCAATACATCGCCTATGTGCACATCTGGAGTATCAGAAGGGCCATGCGTCTGTGGTAACAGGGGGGCTAAAAGTAGAATGAGGACTGAGGAAAACTGTGCATCCGACGCCTCCGTGTGGTACTCTAGGAGATGATTCAGCAGCCCAATGACGGAGTAGGGAGAGCCGGCCTCGGCGTCGATATGCACAGCTTCAAAGTCTGACAGCAACAATCCTTCTTCTACTGTTGGATCAAGTACAGGAGGCGCACTTCCGGAGGCATGTGGCAGGGACGCTGGTGGCTTGAGAACATGAGGCGACCTCACATCCTCAAACACGTCAGGTACAATAGTTCCACTGGCTTCCATCTCAGTGCTGAATTCGTAGGATGACGACGAGATGCTTGTGAGCGCTTCAGAATCAGAGCTATCATGACGAAGCAATTGGTTGTTTCGCCGCAAATGTTCCATATCCCGAACGGCTTTCTCTCCACTGCCAAATTCATCCGCATTGTTCGAAGCGCTGCGGGCCACTTTCTGTGTGTACCCTTCGTCTGCACGAGGAAAGCTCTTGCCGACGGGCATGGTCGTTGGAGATATCGAGATGCTTTTGCTCAGCTCTTGATCTCCAGCGTTTCTCGGCTTCCCGAAGCTAGACTGTTCCTGGACAGACTGCCAATTTTCCGATAGAGAATGCCCAGGGCCTAGTTGTGAGTTGGTACTCGCGAACGAGCTCGGCACAGAATTGCCCTTTTGGGAGTCCGATGACGCAGAGAACATTGTAAAGCTTTCACCAGAGTCGTGTCGCTCCAGTGGATGAGGCTCAATGGTGCGTCCGACTTGTGTGCCGCTCGGTGCGAGGCTCAGTGGAATACGTGGGGATGCACGATAGCTGCCGACCAAGGCACGGCGTTCATCGATGTCGTCTCCCGAGTGATACCATTGTGGCCCACTGAACGTCCTTGGCGGCGCGAGTGTCCTACTTGCATCGACAGGTGGTCCAGTAACAGCGGGTGGAAGCTGATCGATGTCCTCCTGATCAATATCGAGCAAGCCTGGCCTTTCAGCATTATCGACGGTTTGGGTGATGACTGGACGAGCAAGAGGGGTCGCAATATTAGAAGTGCTCTCTCGCACGCTGGGCGATCGGGATGGTGATGTTGGCTTCTCTAGCGTGCTCAAGATGGCACGCACTGCAGGATTTGGAGGGATCGCCATGCGCTTGTCATGTGCTTCCATGTGCGCGGATGCTGCTTGGTGTGTCTGTCCGGACGGTAGCGCGGTGTTCTGCGGTCGCAACCTTCTTTGTTGTCTGTGTAACTCTGCTCGGCGTCGTGTCGCCATGGTAATGGACGCACCAACGACCCTCCATGTTTGCGCAAGCCTATAGAAGGCTGCGCGCTGCGCGTACTCAGCGTTTTGCTCAAACGCCCTCTCCAGTCGAAGAAAAGAGTCCAAGTCGGGTGGGTCGGAAAGAGGTATGGTCTTGTATTTCTGTGCAAGATACTCGAAGATCTGAGGATTGGCCGCGCCTGGCAGTATGCCTCGTATGGCGACCTGGTTCGGCCTGAATGACTCGCTATGTGCGACCATGGAGTCACTGAGGAACATGACTTTGGGGGCAATGTCAGATGGCGGGGTACTACTGAACGATTTGGTAGACCTGTTGCTAGCAGTGCGACCATGATGTCGCTTCATTGACGATGTTAGAAAACTATCATCTAGACTGTCATCTGCCGAACTTCTGAGACTACCCTTCTCGGGGCTGTGTCGTCTGGCACGCGGGTCACCAAGGTACGTATCGTCAGTATAAGCTAGACCTGTTGAAGATGGCTGCCGAGGTCTCTTCTGGGCAACAGCAGCAACCTCTCCACTTGGCGATACCCCAAAGGCCTGCAGATTGCGCCGATCTACGGTTTTGGGAGCATGGTGGACATCGTTCTGCTGGAAAACACCTTCTCTACCGACAGTCCACAAAGTGTCACGCGAGTGCCAGAGCATGTCGGAAGGTGCGCTGGGAAACTTGTTGATCTCCCGAAATGGTAAGAACGGACGACGGAAATCCCATACATGAATGACAGAGTGTTCTTTGTCGTAAGACGTGGCCAGCTGTGTGCATTGGTAGGCACCCTTTTCGTGGTACTCGTCAGACCAGTATGGCGGCCTCCATCGAGCTTGGTATACCGGAAACGGTGTGTGTAAGACGTACGCAGCTTTCTGGCGGCGTCCAGTGACGGAGAAGTCCCAGACCTTGACGGTTCGATCCACGCCAGCACTGAGCAGGTGCTTACCGTCTGGGTGCCAGTCGATGGAGGTGCAGATGCGCTGGTCGTGAGCTGTAATCTTTTGCTTGGGCCCCTTGTTATGGCGGAAATCCCATCGCTGTATGGTTCCGTTATCCGTGCCGAAAGCGAACTCTACGGCATCGGTAGGCGACCACTGGACGTCACGGATACCGCCATTCATGCCAGCGTAATGATCCCGACTGCGGCAGACAGTAACATCCCTACGCATGTCGCGCAAGTCCCACAGACGGACCGTGTTGTCATGGCTAGCAGACAGCAGCAGATGGCCCTGGTGGGGGTTGAAGGCCAGTTTGTGTACTTGACGCGTATGCTCGTGCAGCCTGGTGAGCTCGACGCTTGCGCGGTTCAGGTCGTACAGTATGACTTTGCCATTTGCAGCGGCAGTGGCGATGTGGGAGCTGAACTGCCCATGGGACCACTTTACGTCGTGTATGCCCAAGCCCTCGCGCTGTCGGGCATGAGAATCGGCATAATTGAGGACAGCAGCCCGCAGGTTGGTCTCGTCGACGATCTTGGCATCTTGGACGCGGACAGTCTTCAGGATCTCCTTGCCAGCGAGGACGGCATGGGTGCGTTCACGGTTGATGTCGAGGGCAGAGATGTCGAGGCCTGTCTTATGGCTTGCATCTTGGGAGTAGCCCGTGCGAATGCTGACGGATGTGAGTGCGTGCAGTGGTTGACAGTGAGTGCAGGTGCAGGTGCAGGTGCAGGAGGGTCAGAGTGGTTGACAGTGAGTGCAGAGACGGGGAAGGCACGTTGGAGGTATGTCAAGATACATGGCAGGAGGTGAGTGGCGGAAAGTGAGTGACGGGAAGTGAGTGACAGGGAAGGAGCGAGGCAGGGTAAGACAGGTGGGTGGCAGGGAAGGAGGGAGACAGGTGAGTGAGGCAGCAGGGAAGGAACGCGGCATCCAGGAAAGAGCCACGCAAACGTCAACAAAGATGCAGAGAGGAAGTGTGGAGGAAATGTGGGAGTGTGGATGGAAATGGTGGAAGACACAGCCAATAGGAGAGACAGAAATCAAGTTGCCGTATACGGCGACGGAGTATCGAGCATGTACGAAAGGAACGTACCCGGCAAGTTTCGGCACTAGAGGGTTCGGAGGACCGCCCTCGTAGCCATGTTGATGCACGCTGGGTGGGCGGGATCCATAGGCCGTGGTCAAGGGCTGCGCAACAAAACGCTCAAAGTAGGAGCGTGACTTTTGCTTGGGCAGTGGCAATGGCGGCGCCGGGGGGATCTTGGGCGACGAGACGGCTGACGTGCGACGGTTTTCAGTCATCTGAGCGTCAAGTTCGCCTCATGCCAGAGACGGGGCAATACGGTATTGAATGAAGTGCAGTCGTGCCAGTAAATCGACGTAAATCGCAGGTCCAGTAATGGCAGAATCGCGTCCGGTCGAGTCGACGCTGGTGTGACGAGCTGCAGGCGGCTGCAGGACACGACTCGCCCCGTGTGCCTGGGAGCTGTACCGTGCTGGGAGCTGCTGCAGGCCGGGGTCACAGCGAGGTCTGGATGAAATCCATCATCGGCGCGCACGGACAGGGCTAATGCCTGCTGCATGTGCGCCACAAGTCTACTCGTGCTAGCTAGCTCTCGCCCATGGCACCGTCTCAGTGTGCCCAGGTGCAACATGTCACCGCGTTTCTCTTCCACCACCGACACTCCCTCCTTCCCTTTCCTATCTCCTCCCCGCCCGTCTCTGCCACCCGTGAGTCTCGCTGCCGGGCCTCACAGATCCGTGGAGAGAGAGCAACAGCATGGCTGGGCCGCACCACATGGACGACCACGACCGCGAGCGATGGGCCTACGCCGGCCCTGTGCGCACCACCATCGCCGTGCTGCAATATGCCTACCCCATCGTTATGCTCGTCTTCTTTCTCGCTGCCTTCACCGTCCGCAGCATTGCCGCCTCTAAATCTAATACTAATATCGCCAAACCTACCACAACCGGCCCTGGAGGAAAGCCGCTCCCGGCCACCGATCCCACCCGCAACTTCGTCAAGAAGCTCGTCCACGATGATGTCACCCAGACCCAGAAGCGCGTCTTCGAATGGGTGTCGCTGGCTACGGCATTCACCTTTGTCGGCAATTCCGTCGTCGTCGTTGCGCATGCCCTGGCCGAGGCGGAGCAGCACTGGTGGGTGGGCAAAGCCGCAGTGGTATGTAACAGCAACAAACTTCAGATTCCATCCATGGCTAACTTCCTCAGATCTACCTCGTTGGCGCCTTCTTCGTCTACTGTCTCTTCGTCATCTCCCTCCTCGACTCGAAGCCGTCTCCGACCGAGGCGCATCTGGCAACATGGAGTCTGGCAACCGTGCTAGAAATAGTACTGGTAGCCCTTTCCTTCTCCATCTACACGCATCCGCACAAGGAGCCCACCGTAGGCACTCCCGCCAAGCGATTGCGATTTGGAATGACCGAGTGGGAAGCCGCAGAGGTGGCCATGGACCTGCTCCGCATCGTGTTGCTCCTCGCCCTCATCGCCTTCTACGTACTATTCGTCATAGTCCCACAGCGCAGGTCTCGCCAAGAATCGGGCAGTCCATCCGAAAATACCTCTTTGCTCGGTAGCGCCGAACAAAACGGTCATGCGGAAAACGGTCACGCGAACGGCTCATATGGCTCAGTACACCCGACCGGTGGCAAACACCAGCACACCGAGGGTGCACCGCCCGCCTGGAGCAGGCCCACTGGCGCACCCGCGCGCAGCTGGTGGGAATACATCAAAGGCTACCACGTCTTTTTCCCCTACCTCTGGCCTTCGAAAGATCGCAAGCTGCAGCTGGTCGTCATCGCATGTTTCATGCTCGTCCTAGGCCAACGCGTCGTTAACGTTTTGGTCCCGGACCTCACGGGTGAAATCGTGAAGCGCCTCAACGACCGCGAGCGCGGAAATCCGTGGACCGCCATTATGTTGTACATCGGCTTCCGTTTTCTGCAGGGCAGCAACGGATTGCTGGGTGCGGCGCGATCTGCCCTGTGGATCCCCGTTTCCCAATACTCGTATCGCGAGCTGTCCGTTGCGGCATTCGAGCACGTGCACAGCCTTAGCCTCGACTTCCACCTCGGCAAGAAGACGGGAGAGGTCCTGTCCGCTCTAGGAAAGGGCAGCTCCATCAACACGTTCCTCGAGCAGGTGACCTTTTCGGTTGTTCCCATGCTCATCGATCTAGGCGTAGCCATCGCCTATTTCCTCATCAGGTTCGATGCTTACTACGCGCTCGTCATCGCCATCGTTACATTTTGGTACATCTATCTGACTATCCGCATGGCGCAGTGGCGCGCTGAGATTCGCCGCGAAATGGTCAACGCCGACAGAGAAGAAGATGCAGTCAAGAACGACTCCATGGTGTCATACGAGACGGTCAAGTATTTCAACGCCGAAGCGTACGAGTTCAACCGCTACCGTGAAGCTGTTAAGAAGTATCAGAACGCTGAGTACAAGGTCATGATATCGCTGAACATCATGAACATCACACAGAACATGGTCTTTATGATTGGACTCCTCGTTACGTGCTTCATCGCAGCATACCAGATCGCAGTTGGAGTCCTCGACGTCGGCAAATTTGTGACGCTTCTCACGTATATGAGCCAACTGCAAAGTCCTCTCAACTTCTTCGGCACCTTTTACAGGATGATCCAGTCTGCCATGATCAACTCGGAGCGAATGCTTGAGCTGTTCAAAGAGCAACCCACCGTAGTCGACAAGGAGGATGCCAAACCTCTTGCTTCTTGTGAGGGTAATCTTCGCTTCCAGGATGTACACTTTGCCTATGACCAGCGCAAGCCAGCGCTCACCGGTCTCGACTTTTACTGCGAGCCAGGCACGACCACTGCGTTTGTCGGTGAATCCGGTGGAGGTAAATCGACCGTCTTCCGTCTGCTCTACCGATTCTACAACACCATGTCTGGTAGCATCCAGGTCGATGGTCACGATGTGGAAGATCTCACCATCGACTCGGTGCGCAGCCACATTGGTGTCGTACCCCAAGACACTGTGCTCTTCAATGAGACACTCATGTACAATCTCAAGTATGCAAACCCAGAGGCAACCGACGAACAAGTGCACGAGGCATGCAGAGCTGCCAGTATCCATGACAAGATCATGACATTTCCGGACAAGTATGAGACCAAGGTTGGTGACCGCGGCCTGCGACTTTCTGGAGGTGAGAAGCAGCGCGTGGCCATCGCCCGCACGATTCTGAAGAATCCGCGTATCATCATGCTTGACGAAGCCACTGCCGCTCTTGACACGGAGACAGAGCAGCACATCCAGGAGGCTTTTACGACATTGGCCAAGGGCCGCACTATGCTCATCATCGCTCATCGTCTTAGTACCATCACCCACGCTGACCAGATCCTCGTCTTGCACAAGGGCAAGGTCCAGGAACGAGGCACTCACGAGGAGCTGCTCGATCGCAACGGACACTACGCCGCAATGTGGAAGAAACAAATCCGTGCCCAGAGGGCCGCCGAGCAGGCCGCCTACCTCAAGGACAAGGCTGATAGGCTACGCCGCGAATCCAAGGATGGAACCATTGGCTTCGAAGACGGAAGCAGCAGCCACTCAAGTTCAGACGACGAGAACGCAAAGAAGATCCGCTCTACTACTGGCCAGAATGGGTCGAATACAGAAGACACGTCAGGGAAACCGCATGGCCATCCTTAGTCTGGCAGGTCATCGTACTTCTGAGTGGAGCTCGCTGGATAGACAGCAAGCTTCAAAATTACCATGATAGGAACAGGACAGGAATAAAGGAAACCACCCGGATGCACACTTATATGGCTGGAAGACGGTCATTAGAAACGCACTCTTTCAGGAGTGCAGATGTTGTGCTATTACCCCCCTGGGATCTGGACTAGCCACCTTACCTTACCTCCTCTCAAGACTTTCAAAGTAATGGACCCGAACTTCTTGCAACCCCCAAACCCATTTCGCTGTGTTATTCCATGGAACCAATCCACCCTTCACCTTTCCTTACCGGAGTTGCTTGAAACAAACAAAATGTAATACTGGGATCGACACTACCATTTCTCACAAAATACGTGTTACGGGCGACGAAACCTAGGGCTGATGATGGGTGGCAGGCTGAGTGGGCGGCAAATTTTGTTGTTTTATATACCAAAGATCGCTACGGGTGGACGGATGAGCAGAAAGACGAAAGTAACCCCCAAGGGTTTTGTTGCGACGAATACCGGCGCATTGTCGTGTCGCGGTTCTTCGAAGAAGGGGCGTACGAGAAATGAATTTTACGGGTTAATGGGATATGGATCAGCGTGGGCTGGTGTTTTGCTTTTGCTTTTGCTTTTTGGCTACGAGAAAAATAGAAGGTATCAAAATGACATACGTTTGAATTCAAATTAATGCTAAACCGGGTGTTGTGATGGATGATGGACAGAGGTCTGAATTTTGTTCCACGACCCTGCGAATGTAAGGAGACATCAATCTACCTAACCCATCAGAACTCCTCCCCTCATTTGCGCTTCTCGCCTCATCCACAAACAGCGATATTCTGATTTTTCTCGAATCTTTCCCCGAAACGCCACGATGGAACCAACACCTAGACTTCTAGTCCGCGGCTTCAAATGTGACCAAAGTCTGAAATCATACATGAACGACACCTGACGCAAAGAAATAATCCGCTGCTTCGGCTTCAGCGAGAAACATGACGTACGACTTGTGTGTTCTTGAACGATCTGGAAAAGGAAAAACGTCAAGCATATTCCCCTGTCCAAGTGCATGATGTAACTTTAGCGTAAATAGTTCTATGCCACTGCGAACCTCACAACGAGTTCTACGTCTCAGTGCTGTGTCAGAGGACTTATCTCCTAAACTATCCGCCAATGAACGAGTGAGCGACTACTTCGCCTCTGTTATTGTCCAGGATCACTAAACTCAGGCCTAGAAGAGGTATACCCATTCGTGTGGCAGTTCTCAAATCGGCAAAGTAACGGTCATGATGAGTAGAACCATTTTTGTGTAATGTCGTTGTTCTCATACATAGTCTATGCATTACTGTATCGTATATGCCTCTTTTGAGTGCAATATCCTGCAGCTCATGCCAGTGTACATGCTTCCTCCAAGCCAGCCCACGGGTATGCGATCCTACTCCTCCATCTCCATGTCGTCGCCGCCGCTTGACTGGCCGTTTTGCCGCGAGTTGGACTTTGGTACCGAGGCTTCCTTGTCGATCATCTGCCGTGAGACGGAGACGATGTTGTCTTCGATGAGCTGCTGACCGACGTCTGAGATGTCTGTGGGGTGTTATTAGTATGTATTCAATTCTGTGTATGGGGGTGAACGCACGCTTCTTGGGGTCGACCTTTCCGACGTATCGCGTCTTTAGTTGATCCTTGGTCAACTCTGTCTCCTCCTTCACTCGCTTCTCGTAGCCGTCTGCCAGTGTGACGAGCTTCTGCAGCCTGTCGGTATTCCGCTCGCCCTCGCCCTTGAAGTCGTCCATGAGCAGCGCCTCTGTCCATACGTGCTTGTGCAGGTTCATCAGCATGTTCTCCTCCAGCGCAGTCTTGCGGTAGTTGATGCCGATGGAGTAGTAGTGGCGGTTGAGGCCGTGGATAAGCGCCTGAATCGATGGCTTGTTGAGGTGACCGACGTTGGAGGTTGTCTGGCGGGGCTCGTGGCCCATCATGAGGGCTTGCGGGTTAATGAGGCGGAAAGCATCGATGACGACTTTGCCCTTGACCGACTGGATGGGGTCGACGACGACGGCGACGGCGCGGGGTGTGAGCTGCTCGAACGACTGCTGTGTGTTGATATCGACCGAGGACAGCCAGCAGCCGAAACCAGGATGTGAGTGGTACCAGCCGACGACGGTCTCTTGCCTGTGTTTGTCAGCGACCGATGTGCGGGTTGAGAGCGGTGGCGGCTTCGAGCGCTGACTCAGCAATTGCGTACCTTCCTGTTTGCCTCAACATGTCCATCATCTTGGTTTGGAAGACGGGGTCTACGGCCTCGACGGACACACCGGTTCCCGACTGCGGCATGGCAAAGACATCCACCACTCGTACTGTGTAGTCATCCACAAACTCGCCCAACATCAGGCCCATGACTTCCATGGGTACACCTGCGCGACCGTGCCGCAGCATCTTGAGGAGCGCCAGGGAGGAAATGTAGACGGTTTCGGAGTTATCGATCAGGTTGGTGTCGCCCTGGGGTCCTCCCATACCGCCCATGCCACCTTGGGCGGCGGCGAGCATCCTAGTTAACCGGTCCATGGTGGGGTACTGGCGATGGTTCTTTGATTACTTCAGGCGGGGTATCTGGCGACGAGGTGAGAGTACTCGGGTGTGGACGAGGTGTTGCTGGGTAAGGCGGCGGCGATGATGAAGCTGTTGATGCTCGGAGCTCTCTCACGTAACTGCGCGACTGCATGCGGCGATTCGGTTGTTCCGGAACCGGCACTAGACAGGGGGGCCCTGTCGCAGCTCTCATGGTAATGGCGCGCGAGGGTCTTTGTTCAAGCTCCCGCCATCTCTCTGCCACGCCCCTCCACCTAAATTGATTGCTGATACTCGAACGCCTTGCATGCTGTAGTCACCGTCGCCCGCAACCTCCAGTCCAACTTTATCACATTTATCACGATAATATCATCACACATCCTCCCAGTCGCATAGCTGTGCGCAGCCACCAAAGATATGACCACCGCTATGGAACCCACGACGGGCTCCTCGTCTTTGAGCAATGGCGTCGCCTCGCAGCCAAAGAAGGTCGCATACTTCTACGACTCCGACGTCGGCAACTACGCCTATGTAGCCGGACATCCCATGAAGCCCCACCGCATACGCATGGCGCACAGCTTGATCATGAACTACGGACTGTACACCAAAATGGAGATTTACGTAGGCGCATCAGAAGTCAATTCTCCAAGGATCTGTGCTAACTCATCGGCAGCGCGCTAAGCCCGCGTCCAAATACGAGATGACGCAGTTCCACACCGACGAATACATCGAGTTTCTCCACAAGGTTACTCCCGATAATATGGAGAGCTTCACACGTGAGCAGAGCAAATACAACGTCGGAGACGATTGTCCAGTCTTTGACGGTCTTTTCGAGTTCTGCGGTATCAGCGCTGGCGGCACCATGGAGGGCGCTGCGCGTTTGAACCGAGGAAAATGCGATGTCGCAGTAAACTGGGCGGGAGGACTGCATCACGCGAAGAAGAGCGAAGCCAGTGGTTTCTGTTACGTCAACGACATTGTCTTGGGAATCATCGAGCTACTCCGATACAAGCAGCGCGTGCTGTACATCGACATCGACGTCCACCACGGAGATGGTGTTGAGGAAGCCTTCTACACTACCGATCGCGTCATGACCGTCTCATTCCACAAGTACGGCGAGTACTTCCCCGGTACCGGTGAACTGCGCGACATCGGTGTCGGCAGCGGCAAGAACTACTCGGTCAACTTCCCTCTTCGCGACGGCATCACCGACGAGACCTATCGCAACATCTTCGAACCCGTCATCGAGGCGGTCATGACATACTACGGCCCAGAGGCTATTGTCCTACAATGCGGTGGTGACAGTCTTTCCGGAGACAGGCTTGGTTGCTTCAACCTGAGCATGGACGGCCACGCCAATTGTGTCAAGTACGTCAAGAGCTTCGGCGTGCCAGTCATCGTACTGGGAGGAGGTGGTTACACTATGAGAAACGTAGCGCGAACTTGGGCCTACGAGACGGGAGAGCTCGTTTCCACCAAAATGTCCAAGCAGCTGCCTTTCAACGACTACTACGAATACTTCGCTCCCGACTACGAACTGGACGTCCGTCCTTCTAACATGGAGAACGCCAACTCTCACGACTACCTGCACAAGATCAAATCTGCCGTCATCGACAATATCCGGAGAACCGGAAAGCCATCAGTTGAAGCCTTCACCAATATTCCGGATGTGCCTGCGGGTCTAACTCGCGCTACGGACTCAGACGCTGAAGATGAAGACGATGATCTCGATGCCGACGAGAACAAGGATGTGCGCATGACACAGCGTCAGCGCGACCAGCAAATAGAGCACGATGGCGAGCTCTACGACGCGAGCGACGATGAGGATTACAAAAACAGCCTCGGAGTGCGCGAGCAGCCCGGCACCAAGAAGAGGCGACACATCACCGACTTCCCGAACCCCAACGCTGCTCCAGAGGATGACTTGGACCGCATGGAGACGAATGGTGAAAGCGCCGTATCCACACGGCAAGCATCTGCAGTCGCCAAGTCGCGCACAACAACCCCCGCCGCTGGCGAGCAAGAAGCCGACGAAGATGGCGACATCGACATGGACGCGGCGCCTGCTGCGACTGCACCTGCCGCTGGCTCAACGCGATCACAATCGCCCGCTGGTGTCGTAACCCCACCCGAATCCCCACCAGCCGCGGCAGCAACAACAACCATGGCACCTACTTCAGCCCCCACGGCAGACGTCGAAATGGAGGAGAATGACAACAAAGAAGAGATTGCCGCAGCCAAAGAAGAGGGCGACGCAGAACGCGATTCTGAAAACGTCAAGGGCGAGGTCCGCACAGAGGTCGCTAAGGACTAAGCACCCAAACGGCGGTTCTCTGCTGCATTTGCGAGGCGTTTGTACTTTCATCGCACTATTTTCTGGGTCACTTCTTGACGACGGGTAGCGGGGTCGGTGTTTTGGTGTGATGGGAAATAGCTTGCGTGAGTTAGCTCAAGCTAGGGATACCTTTTTGGATTTTATGGAAGTATGTTATTCTGATGCAATGGGTCTGTTGTCTCTCTTTCTATCATTGTATGTCTTACGTGCTAGAATGAAATATGAATACCAAAGCAACGATCGATTTCACGTCCCGGGCCTTATGTCAACACGTCTTGGGCGGTTTAACACCACTCCCCACAAGCCTCGACATCCCACACCGGTCTCTTTCCCATATCCGCACTCGCCTTCTTCCCTTTATTCCTCTTGAGCTCTTCGCACGCACGCACCATGTCCTCATCGCCTTCCAACAGTCCGGCTATGACACGCTCGGCCATGCCACAGAGCTTAGCAACCAGGCACTTGTAATGCCCCAGCGTACCAGTCGTCTCAATCAGTACACGCATCCTTGGCTTCGCAGTCGTAGACGGACCAGAAGTACCAGTACCAGACGCCAACGCAGGAGGACAATGTCGAGATCCGGCGATCTTACTAACGGGACCACCACCAGTCTCGATACCATTCTTCGTCTTCACTGTTGGTGTCGAGTCGTCTTCGGTCTCCTCCTCTCCCAACACCTTTCCCACTCCATACAATCTCTCCATCTTCATCTTTCGCAATCCCTCCATCCTTGTCTGTACAGAGCTTTTCCTCCTTTTCTCCTCGAAAACAACTAACGCGATCTTTATCCCCATTTCTATCTCTACATCCTCATCATCTTCATCCTCCTCGTCATCTTCATCCCCCTCCTCCTCTCCCATATCCACCCTCGGTACGACTACAGGCACCTCAACGATCGGCACACTGACTCTCAGCGGATTACAGTCAGGATCGTTGGCGTAGTACCGTACGAGGAAAGCGAGGTGTTTTGAGCATTCGTTGAGGAGGGGTTTGGGGATAGAGGGGTGCGTTAGTTGGAGGTTTAGTTCGGAGAAGATGCGTGCGCGGAGGGGGTCGATTGGTGGTGTCATTGTGAGAGTGTGGTAGGGGGTGATGTTGGGGTTATGGCGGTGAGAAGGAGGATGTTGGGTTGAGGGGGTGTTATAGGGATGATGAGGATGAAGGGGAGGATGGTTTGCTAGCTCGAGACATTCGTTGCAGGTGTGGTCTTAGAGGTTAGACAAACTGACTTTGACTTGTGAAGACGGGTTGGTGCGGGCATGTTTCAAGCTGCGTCGATTGCTAAGTTTGCCACAAAGGTCAGACAAATTAACAATTCTCGTTCAGGTCAAATGACTAGAATGCTGTATGTCTTGTTGCTAGGGATGGCCTTTACCCATATCCTTCGGGGTACATGCAAATTTCTGACGACGGCTTCCTGTGATCAGAGTACCAGATGCATATCATCCAAATCAATATCCAATCCTGAACTCAGCTGTGGAATCTGCTTGTAGTTGCTCTCATCCAGGGTCTTCCTGATGAACTTGAGTGTCTGTCTCCCGGTCAGTACAACAATGCTCATGTCCGCCAAACATATGTCAAGCACTCACCTCAGCATAAGTCGGAGTCTGATCTTGTTTCATCATCTCCAAGAACGCCCACGTCATAGCTCCCGTCGCCTCCCCTTCAATCCGCGCATCCGCACTCGTCTGATCATCCCTACACCCACTAAACATCGTCACCATCTTCTGCTCACTCCCATACTGGCCCGCAAACTCTCCACTCTCTAGTCCTTCCTCCTCCTGCTCTTCACCAAAATGCTTCAGTCCCTTGAAGAACGTACTCGCACCCGCAAGCAATTCCCTCGCCTCCCCAACTTTGCTATACGAGAAACCACCAGAGATGATATCGCGCGCCTCATTAGCAAGCGTAAGCCCAGCTTTCAAGTTATCCATCAAACTGATCTGGCCATCGCTATCAGAGCGGTAAACAAACGGTAGCTCGAGCGCACTACCAGAATGACAACAGTCCATTATGACAAACAACGTGCAATCCCGCGCCATATACGTAACAAGGTGTTCATGTAAAATGGTACTGGAAATCTGGCCGCGCTGTTCGAAATCCACAGGAACGATCGATGCATCCATTCCCGTCGTCCTGTTTCCGTCTACATCTGCAATCTGGCCGCCATGACCGGAGTAGTGCAGGAACAAGGTACATCCGGGTTCTGAGACGAGCCAGTCCATGGCTGCGAGGAGGTTGTGGCCGGTGGGGTAGTAGGGGGAGTCGTAGGGTACTTCTGGTCGGTCGGTGAGGATGACTCGGTCTTTATGCGAGTTGGTGTAGCCGCGGTAGGAGAGGAACTCGGCCATGTTGTCTACGTCTGAGTGACAGCCCTTGAGTTCGTGGCTGCTGCCGACATAGTTGATGCCGATGAGGAGGGACTTCTTGCGGCGGTAGGACATGTTGAGGTTAGATAGAAGAACGGAGTAGATATGCGATTGTGGTGTTGGAAGAAGGATTCTAGGTAGTTGTGGCTGAGGTCTGTAGCGTGGATGTCAAGTGTTGGTAGTGGTGGGGTAGTGAATGATGTGGCTGATCACTGCCCAATCAATTCTAGTGGGAAGACGCGTCGCGCCCCGCCCACGTGCATGCGCGATTGTATACTGCAAACAGCAATGCGACATATACCAAAGTTACGAGGATCTTGGTGGCTGGGTTTGCGACCAGTCTAGGGCATTGCTAGCAGAAAGTGATGATGACGTCACTCGGTCGTGCGCGCATCTTACAACTGCATGTGTCACATATATCACAAAGAGTCAAGGCATGCCGCCACTACAGTACCATGAATCGAGAAATCAGTCCACCTCCCTCGAAACGACGCAAGGTCGCGACAAACACAGCGACGTCTCCCGGGCAAACGGCGCCTCCAAGCACGCCCGCATCTCGAACGCCCCTTCCACCTCTCAACGCAAACACATTACGCATCTTCTCTTGGAACATCGATGGCATTGCTCCATTCCTACAAAAGCCAATCACAGAGTTCTTCCAAACTTCCAAGTCCAGGACGGCGCTCAGGGATGATGCAAAGAACGCCCGGCCGACAGCCTCACTCAGAGGTTTCCTACACAGACACCAATGGCCATCCATCCTCTTCCTCCAAGAAGTCAAAATCGCCCACACAGATGAAAAGACCCAAGACGCAGTCAAAAAAGCAGTAAAATCACCCCTACCAGAAGAAGAAGGAACTCCCCATAATAAGCGCCCACTATACCACGTCCACTTCACCCTCCCCACCGACCTCCACAACGCCCGCGGCCCCAAACGCAGCGGCAAAATCTACGGCGTATGCAGTCTAATCCGGCGCGACCTCTACATCCCCTACAAAATCGCCCTCCGCACCGTAGACTGGGACGCCGAAGGCCGCATCTCCGTCGTAGAACTTCGCTCGAAAACCAGCAGCACCGCCAAACTCGCCATCTTCAACATCTACGCCGTCAACGGGACGGAGAACGCATATCGAGACCCGCAGACCGGTGCGTTTAAAGGAACGAGACATGACCGGAAACGCGCGTTTCATAAGCTATTAGCGAGGGAATGTAGGGAGTTGGAGGAGCAAGGCTGGGATGTGTTACTCGCAGGCGACATGAACGTCGCGCCTGACGAGCGAGACGGGTATCCCAAACTACGCATCTTCCCACAGGCACATGTAGTTAACCGCGCGGATTTCCACGATAAGCTGCTAGGAGGGGGTGGGAAGGCGAAGGAGCCGTTTGATGGTGTTGATGTGTGGAGGGAGATGTTTCCGGATGAGAGGCGGTATACGTATCATTCTAGAGGAAGGAAATGGGGGAGTAGCTGTGATAGGGTGGATTATTTTGTTGCGGGGAGGAGGATGTGGGAGAAGGGGTGGGTTCGGGCGGCTGGGATTATGGATTCCGAGGTGGAGATGGGGACGAGTGATCATGTGCCGATTTGGGTGGATGTTGAGATGAAGGAGGGGGGTGGGAAGGAAACAATGCCGAAAGAGCAAGAGAAAGATGCTGTAAAAATATTATCTTCCTGAGTTACAGACTTTCTCCAATCTGCACATTGACATCGAGACGTACCTACGACCTAAATCCTCCTACTCCGCCTCTCTAGTATCCGCCACAAAAAACGGACTCGTCCCCATCCCATTAAACGCATTAACCTCCCACAACTCCGTCGTCCCACGCAACACCTCATACCGATTGTAGTCTCCACACCCACTCCCCGTATTAACACACTCCGTCGTAATCCGACCCGCAATCCTCTCACCAACCTCCTGCCCCTCGAACCACGCACCGTGCAAGAAACCAAAGTACTCCGCACTCATCGCCTCGCCCGCAAAATACAACCTGCCTACATTCGCGCGAAGGTTTTGGTGCATTTCGAGTGTCGTTCCAGCGGGCCAGTTGGAGTAGGAACCGTAGGACCAGGGTGTTTGGGTCCAGCGCGGGTAGGTAAACGCAATAGGTTCAGGGACCGTGATGTTGGGGAACATTTTACGGAGGACAGCCATACCCTCCGCTTTCGTAGTTTCATCGTCCTGCGCTTCCACGCGGTAAGACTGTTCGTCTACGAGCGTGGCGAAGAGGATGTTGGAACCGGGCAGGAACCCTTCTGTTGATAGACTCTGCCAGACGGTGTAGTACCCACGTGTAGTGGGATCCGCATAAAGGAAGAATTGCTTGTCGGTTGGCCAGAAGGTTTCGTTGAATTGAAAGAAGAGCTTTGTGTAGGTGCCGAAGGAGAAGGTGGCGATGGCGGATTGCTTCCAGTCCGGGAGGGTGGGCGAGAAGGTTATGGCGTCGTTTTGGAGGACGCCGAGGGAGACGGTGGAGATGGCGTAGTCGGCTTCGATGCAGGAGCCGTCTGAGGTGAGGATCTCGACGCTGGTGTCGGAGTAGGTGATGTTTGTTACGATGGTGTTGAGGAGGAGGCGGGGGTCGGCGGGTTGGAGGAATTTGGAGGCTTGGTGCTTGAGCCAGGTGTTGAAGCCGCGTTGGTCGGTGCAGACTGGGAATTATTTCAGTCAGTGCGAAGATCATGTTTATATGCGGGGATACGTACAGTTGCTGACCTCGGAGAAGCCATAGTAGGTCAGATTGTATCCCGTAATGCCATAGACGAAGCTTGATTCCTCGGGTGTCTGGAAAGCTTGCGTATTAGCATGTCTCACAAATGATCGTTCCAGGTAGCTTACCTGAGCGGTCTCCCAATCCCAGAGATAGTACTCCACAGCCTTGCGCGCCGGATCGTCCTTTGGTCTCCACCCGCTTTGCCAAAGACCTGCACGGAAGCTCCTGTCTTGCAAGTTCTCGGAGAGTAGCGTTCCAGCACTTTGTTCGAAAACACTCCAGTACTCTTCAAACTCATCCAATAAGTTTGTGAAGTCCACAGCTCCCGTCTCATTGTAGGTCGCGACGGAGAAAGAGTCGGAATTTGGGCTGGAGAGATTGACTTGTTTTGAGAAAGTCCAGACCGGGTTTTCTGGACCGTCTATTGTGTTTTCACCCAGACCAGAGATCCAGTTTGCGCCTAGCTCGACGGTGTAAGGGTCGCCGTTGGAGTCGGAACCGAACTTTGTGTTTCGCATGCGGCCACCGATGTGGTCTTGGTACTCGAGAATCAGGAAGTCGGTGACTGATTGATTGGCAAGCGCTTGCTGGAAGCTATTAGCAGCTGGGTTAGGCATAATCGTTGAGCCTCCGCAGTGTATTGAATCAGATGAAATTTGCCTTGGTCTGTTCATCGTGACAAGAGTCTCAATGTAGACTTACAGCTGCTGTGATACCGGCAACTCCGCCACCACTACGAACTATTAGTCAACCTTGGATCGTGTTTCAAGATGAAACTTACATGATAGCGACAGTAGTCTTCCTACATGTGCTGGTGTTGGCCCGTCCGTGGATTGCCGGCGCAGCGAAGGTCAATGGTACGAGACCAGTGGTCAACAACAACGTATCCGCCAACCTCATGATGAATACACTTCGAGAGATAGTTGTGAAGAATGTAAGGCTTGCTGCAGTCTGCTGCACACCGACAGATACTTAAAGCTTGACCTAAT